ATCGATCTACAGCTTCTTTGTACTAGCGACTCAGCCAGCCCCACTAAAAGTAGGTAAGAAAAGACCCCCGTAGAGAAGTCTTTTACTGAATCTAGAGGCAACACCAGGAGGGGCAGCAAAGGAAAGCGTCCACGACCCACGAACAGAGCTGGGACAGCCAGCCTGTTTACACGCCAGAGAAGAGTGTTTGCACCAATCACAGCCTTGCCTCTTCAGTCACAGTAGTCCCCCTGCTGGACCGTCGTGGGAAATTCCCCCATTCTGGCTGCGATGATTACAGGGTCATCTAGAATTCAAGGTTCGTGACTAAAAAAAAAAAAAAAAATCTGGGGCTTGCTTGAGGTTGTGATAACCAACTTTGACGCTGCATTGTCTTCTCAAGGGAGGTCTAAGGTTCAAACTGGTGGCGGGTGGGTAGTGTGGCTGGATGTTTTACTATCAGTCCCTTTGTTGGAAGTAGCAAAAGCTGCCAATTAAGGAGTCACATTGTCCCATCCTTCAGGCTTCACTTATTTTCAGAAATAGGAACAACATAATACTTATTATCAGAATCTAAAGAGCTTCCCATTAACATTCAATTGTTATTTTAACAGAATTTTTTCATCTTTTAAAATTTATTTTTATAGTCAGTCAGTGGTGGCACAAGTCTCAGGAGGCAGAGGCAGGCAGATTTCTGAATTTGAGGCCAGCCTGGTCTACAGAGTGAGTTCCAGGACAGCCAGGGCTTCACAGAGAAATTCTGTCTCAGAAAAAATAAAATAAAAACTAAATAAAATGGGTTAATTTTTATTTTACATGGATGTGTGTTTTGTCTTCATCTATGCCCGTGTATCACATGTGTGTCTGGTGCCCTCAAAGAGCAGGAAACCAGAAGAGGATAGTAAATCCCCTGGAATTGAAGTTACAGATAGTTGTGAGCCTTCATGTGGACCTCTACAAGAACAGCCCCCCATTTGAACAGATTTTTTTTTTTTTTTTTTTTTTTTTACAGGGTTTCTTTGTAACTTTGGAGCCTGTCCTGAAACTAGCTCTTATAGACCAGGCTGGCCTCGAACTCACAGAGATCCGCCTTCCTCTGCCTCCCAAGTGCTGGGATTAAAGGTGTGTGCCACCACCGTCAGGCTGATTTCCTTTCTTTCTTTCTTTCTTTCTTTCTTTCTTTCTTTCTTTCTTTTCTTTTCTTTTCTTTCTCTCTCTCTTTTTTTTAGACAGTGTCTCACCATGTAGCATTGGCTGCACTGGAACTCTTTATGTAGACCAGGCTGATCTCAAACTCAGAGGTCTGCCTGCCTCTGCCTATGAGTGCTGGGATTAAAGGTGTGTACCACCCAATCATTTTAACAGATTTTTTTTTTTTTTTTTGGTTTTTCGAGACAGGGTTTCTCTGTGGCTTTGGAGCCTGTCCTGGAACTAGCTCTGTAGACCAGGCTGGTCTGGAACTCACAGAGATCCGCCTGCCTCTGCCTCCGGAGTGCTGGGATTAAAGGCGTGCGCCACCATCGCCCGGCCAGACTTTTGTTTTTTTGAGACATGGTTTTTCTGTGTAGCCTTGGCTGTTCTGGAACTCACTCTGTAGATCAGGCTGGCCTCTAACTCAGAGATCTGCCTGTCCCTGCCTCTGGAGTGCTGGGATTAAAGGCATGCACCACCACGGACAGGCTTCATTTCAATAGATTTTAACAATACTTAACATCTGTCCAGTTGCCCAGGAGTAGCAAATCCCCCTCGTTTGTCTGAAGATGGAAATCGTATGTAGCCCGGTTCACTTAATTGGTATAGTGACTATTAGTGTCCTGTGCGTGCACATTCACTATGTTCCCTTAAAAAAGGTGGGCTTTGCCGGGCGGTGGTGGCGCACGCCTTTAATCCCAGCACTCGGGAGGCAGAAGCAGGCGGATCTCTGGGAGTTCGAGACCAGCCTGTCTGTCTCTCTTTCTTTGCCTCTCTCCCGTCTTCTGCCACTCCTGTCCCCAGAGGCTGGTCTCCTCTCTTCCCTCCCTCCCTTTCCCATTCCCTTCCCCCAATAAAAAACCCCTTCACCTGAGCTCTGTCGCGTGGCATATTTCTCTTTCTCGCCATTTTTAAAATTGTAACAGTGACCCCAGTTTTACAAATGAGGAAGTTATAGGCTTCAGTAGACTGATCAAGCTCAAGTACATAAATACCAGAATTGGGGTTTCCAGTCCACAGCTCTGGGTTTTTTTAAATTTTTCAAGACAAGGTCCTTGCTGTACTGGAAGTAGCTCTTTTAGACCAGGCTGGCCTTGAACTCCTGGAGATCCACCTGCCTCTGCCTCCCAAGTGCTGGGATTAAAGGCGTGCGCCACCACCGCCCAGCACCATACATCTGATTCTAGCTATGGGCAAGCACACACACACACACACACACACACCACCTCCCATACACAAAATGCTACAACATGCTGCCTCTTTCTGGAAGGGCACAGATTTGCACCCATTTTATTTCATCAGAAAGAGAGACCTCACACCAGTTGCAGAGACTTGAAGCCTAACGTTCACTACTAGCCATTCATGAAGCTCTTGGTGCTTCCCTGTTCCAGGTACTATGCCAGGCTGGGTGTGTCCTACACCAAAAGAACACGAGGTCCCTTCTCTAGCAGGACTGGGTGCGAATTCCTGGATGATTTCTTTCCTGATAAGGATTTGCAGCTTGTTAGAGCATTGTCAGAAGCTTATGTTCCAGGCTATAGAAAGTAGGGTCCTGAAAAGGTTGTTGGATCTATTCATTACTAGCTTAACTATATATATATATATATATATTATATATATATAGAGAGAGAGAGTGCTAGGAATGGAACCCAGAGCCTCATGCATAGTAAGTCTCCAGTTAAATTTGAATTGCAGATATGACTATAACACGTCCAAGTACGTCCCATCAGTTTTTGTGTGATACTTAGCTTCTGTTCGTAGTTTATCGGAAATATTGGATTCCCTGAGCTTCCTTCGGCGTCTCTAGAACTAGGGCCGTGAGAAAGAGAAGAGACCCCCGCGTCGGAATGACCAGGACGATTCTACGAGTCACAGGATAGAATGCCTGGAGCACAACCCGCTCTGCTCCTAACCGAGCCCGGGAGGAAGTCGCAGTGCGTACTTCCGCCAGGCGGGGCGGTTGCCTGGAGGGGCAGTGACGTTGACGGAAAGGGCGGTTCTGTCGGGAGCCAGGCCGCGCCGTGCCGCGCCGGCCGGGAGGGGGCCGGAGCCCGGCCATGGCGGCGGCGGCTGGCGCCGAGGGGCGGCGCGCGGCTCTGGAGGCGGTGGCAGCGCCCGAGCGGGGCGGCGGGAGCTGCGTGCTGTGCTGCGGCGACCTGGAGGCTACGGCGCTGGGCCGCTGCGATCACCCGGTGTGCTACCGGTGCTCTACCAAGATGCGGGTGCTGTGCGAGCAGCGCTACTGCGCCGTGTGCCGCGAGGAGCTGCGCCAGGTGCGCCAGCGGGGCACGCGACGGGGAGCGGAGCGGAGAGGGCGGGCTCCTGATGGCTTTGCCTGCTCGGTGTTCGGCCGCGGCCTGGCCGCGCCCGCTGTCGCCGGAGGCCCGGTGGTCGGTCCGAGCGGCATGCGATTGCCGGGCCTCCTGGGACTGGGGAAGCCAGAGGCGTCTGGGCCGGGGGAGGAGGAGCGATGCCTGTGGGAACTCGAAGCCTGTGACCCTCCGCGGGAAGGGCAGGGTCAGGTCGAAAGCTCTCTTGGTCTGTGAGTGTTCATGTTTTCGGGATCGTCACTAAGGTAGAGGAGACAGCCAGGGGGAACCTCCAGGGACTGTCTATCCTGGAAGCTGACTGTTCTGTAAAAAAGGATTAAACTGGACATTTCCAGAGTAGTCGGGCTTCTGGGCCCCACTGGTGACCCTTAGCTCCTGAGAGTGGGGGTGATGCCAGAACTTGATTCCCAGGTGCTTGGCGGTCCACAACGTTAGGAAGTTTTCCTCCTTCTTACTAGTTCTAGTTTTGGGGGTTCCTTCCTAAGTGGAGGGAAGGAGATGCTTATTGTCTAGACTTGGAAACCCCTGAAGGGGTCAGAGGGCGCATGGAGTGTTCCCCCACACTCCCGCAATGCCAGCTGTTGGTGAGCAGTGTCCAGCTGGACTCCTTTGGTTTGCTGCCTTTAGAGATCTGTTTACTTCCAGCATTGTGAAATTACCTTGGTTGGTTCATGGAAGGCTTTGGCCAGTGGCCTTTGCCATGGAATCTCGCTTTCCTGTTCTTAGAAGTAATGCAGAGATAGAATAATGCTAAGAATATTCTCTCTCCCTCTCCCTCTCCCTCTCCCTCTCCCTCTCCCTCTCCCTCTCCCTCTCCCTCTCCCTCTCCCTCTTTGGTTTCTTGAGACAGGATTTCTTTGTATAGCTTTGACTATTCTAGAACTAGTTCTGTACACCAGGCTGGCCTCAAATTAGAGATTGACCTGCCTCTGCCTCCCTAGTTCTGGGATTTAAGGCATGTACTACTACCACCCGGCCTCTCCTTCAGTTTCTGCCTTCAAATTTTTGACTTGAGTTCTGCCCTGGTTCTTTTTTGAGACAGGGTCTCACTATGTAGTCCTGGCTGGCCTGGAACTTGTTGTGTTGACTGTGTTTGGCCTCTAAACCAGAGATTTACCTATGTCTGCCTCCTGAGTGCTGAGATTAAAGACAGTGCACCACCATGTCCCACATGTTTTTCTGTTTTGTTTCAAGACAGGATCTCACTACGTAGCTCTGGCTATCCTGGAACTCACCTGTATAGGCCAGGTTAGCCTTGAACTCAGAGATCCACCTGCCTCTGCCTCCTGAGTGCTGGGATTAAGAGTTGTGCCACTATGGCCTGGCTTTTCTTTCTTAATATTTATGTTAAAGGAGTCAGCTGAAACCTGGCGCATTCCTTAAGCATCTGCCTATGTCAGATGGGGAAGAACAAATGGAAGAACTCGGTCTGTAACGTGGTGGAAAGAACCTTACCTTTCTGGGTGAGATCTGGGGTTCAGAAACATTCCAGGAAGCCTTTGGCTGGTGACCTACCCAGAGGTCCTTGCTTTGCTGGCCAGTCGTGCATCATATACTGATGGAAAGTCAAAACACTGGGTTTTTCCAGCCGCCTTTAGCTTCCTTCTAGGAAGGAAGACGTTTCGGGGGTCTTTACATTTATAGTCCTAGCCCGGCTTTGATTTTCACTCAGGAAGTTAGTGAACACATACATGTGTCAGCTGTAGCCAGTGTCTGCCCTCCCTCGTTCCTTGTGGGCCCCACACCCTCTAAGCTCTGTGGCGGGGGCTGTTGACATGAGCTGTCAGCTTGCCCTGGCTGGGGTGTGGCTTGGCACTGGGTGCCCTTGGCCAAGCCTGGGCTTCCTCGTGGGTTTGCACCACCATGCTGGGCAACAAGAGTTCTTGGGGAGTTGGGTGAGGTGATATTGTCCAGCTCAGTCTCTTCATTCATCCCGCAGCTTCTTCACCTGTAACCTTGTAGCTTCCTTGTCCCTGGGTTCTGCATTACCTTGAGTATGAGTATGGTATGTGTGTTCCTACCCAGAATCCCACAGTGACTCTTAGTTCCTGAACCCTGCCCTTGGCTTCCCTTAATGTGAATAAATGAAATCAGGAGGGATGTGTGTAAGATGTTGTATGGAGCCTTTAGTCCCTGCGCTTGAGAGGCAGAAACAGGCGGACTTCCGAGTTTGAGGCCAGCCAGAGCGACACAGAGAAACCCTGTCATGTGGAACTAGCCAGCTTCCTTTGTTGGATGATCTACCTTGACCTTCTTTGTACAGACTTTGGAGTGGCGTTCAAGTATAGCAGAGAGACAGTGCACAACTTTGAAGCTGCGTCTGGTGCAGAACCAGGGCAGTCCTGACTTCAACACAGCAGCTTCGGTGGCCTGACATCTGGTGTGAGGCTGTGGAGGTAGTGGACAAAACTGATTCAACGCTGGGTGGTGGAGAGCCTTGTGCTCAGTCTTTAGCACTGGGGAGAGAGACCAGCACATCCTGGTGATTAAGCCCTTGGGAGTTTCTTGTGTTCCTCTGGGCACATCTCTCAAGAGCCATTTTCTTTATCCGGTTGCTTGTCACATCTCTGGACAGGCCACACCTCCACCCACAAGCGGGGGAAGTGGGAGGGGAATGTTGAAGGCTTTCCCAGGGTTGCTGCAAGGCCCAGGTCAGCAAGCTCTGTACCTGATGACTCATGGGTATTTTTCTGTTGTGAATGCGTTGTCTGCCATCTGTGATCCCTCCCACTCTCCCTTCCTTTCTTTGGACAGTCTCACTGTATACACAGGCTGGCCTGGAACTCATAAAGATCCATCTGTCTCTGCCTCCTGAGTACTGAGATTAAATGTCTGTTCCACTATGCCTAGGGATCCTGGTCTTTCCAAAAGTTATCCCTGCCTCTATTACCAGTTGGACTCCCACCAGGAGATCTAACATCCATTTCTGTCATTGGTGAGCACCACACATGAACATGGTGCACAAACATACATGCAGGCAAATATACACATAAAATAATTTTTTAATTAAAAGATGTATTTTTCTTTTATGTGTATGTGTGCATGTTATTCCAGAAGAAAATGTTGAATCCTCTGGAACTGGAGTTACTGTAAGCTTCTATGTGGGTGCTATGAACTGAACCCAAGTTCTCTGGAAAAGAAGCAAACTCTCTTAACCACTGAACCATCTTTCCAGTCCCGCCCGTCCCATTACACACACCTCCCCCCTCCCCCCCTTGATGCATGGTGTCTCACCTGTCTTTTTACCTGTTTTTTTTTTTTTTTTTTTTTCTGGGATGGGTTTCCAGACAGGATTTCTTTGTATGTCCTAGAACTCACTCTGTAGACCAGGCTGGCCTCAAACTTACAGAGATCCACCTACCTCTGCCTCCCAAGTGCTGGGATTAAAGGCGTGTGCCCCCACCGCCCAGCTTTACCTTCTCTTTACCTAACACTCCTTGCATGCTGGAAGTTATAGGAGGAGCAAGGTCCTCTGGCAGCCACTACCTGAGCAAGCTTCCCACCCCGTCAGTCTCCCCTGGAACTGGGCTGTCAATCCCACATGGCTGATTCCAGAGGTCCTTGCCTGACCTCTGGACCCTATGCTGCCCAGCCCAGGGCTCCTCAGAGTAACCCAGCCTCACACCCAGACCTGACCTGGCCTAAGCTTCCTCCTCAGATCATGACCCTTTTCCTAGGACTCTTCTCTCCCTAACACCTTGGTTTTGTCTCCTTTGCCCCTGCCTAGCCTCACAGGGATGTCCACAGGAAGGGAGGGTCTTGCTGCTGGGGATGCCCCAAGATAACCTGCTCTTCTGTCGCCCACTGGGGCAGTCTAGATGGACAGTCTTGGTCTCTCTGCCTGGAAAAGGGCAGGTTTTGTTCACCTAGAGCTCCGGGCCTGTTGGCATCAGACCCAACACACCCAGCCTTTGGCCTGCCCTGCCCATGAACCTTTTCCTATGCCTTTTCCTGTACTTCCGTTCCCTTCTTGAACCAGCCCTGTGTCTCCTTCCCTACCTCTCAGCCTGACCCAGGTGTATGTAGATTAGATTTACCTCCACCAGACTGGTATGCCTGGGCCTTGATGGCCCTGTTTCTGCTTGGCAGATCCACACCCCATTCCTATGCAGACTTGGCTCAGTGGCCCCTTGACATCACTTCTGCCTGCAGTTGATAATCATGTTTCTTGGTTCTTAGCCTCGGTGGGACAAGGTAAAGCAGGTCTCTGGTTCCCCTGCACTCTCATCCCAGCCCTCTGGTTGCCAGCCAGGCCCTTCATAAGAACTCTGTCTGGCTTCTGGTCATACTCATTACAGGATGTGTGCTATCTCCCTGCCTCTCCTCTGGGCACCTCGGGCTGTTCACAGAGATGTGCTGTGGGTGAGCAACAAGCCAGCATGTGTAGGGCATGAACGCACAAGACGAGAGGTGGCTAGCACAGGTGAGTGCTCTGCTCAGCATGTCTTGGCACCAGCTGCCCAACAGAGGTGTTCAAGGGGCTGTGCCCATAGCCCCAAGGTAGATCAACTTCTTCCATGATAGTCTGAGATGCCACGCAGAGTAGATCCAAGTACACAGCTGAGAGAGGTCCCGGAGCTGGTAGCAGTGTCGGGGGCGTCCCTGGCGCTGCTTCCTTTAGGGAAGGAAGTTGATCCTCCGCTACGTCTGTTGGGCTTGGATGCTTTTTGGCAGCTTCAGGGAGTTTCCTCAGACTGCTCTTCTGCCCGCCTTGGAGGAGCTAAAAGGGAGTATGGCTGTGCCTGGTGCGTTTGCTTGTGTTGAGGAGCTTTCAAGCTGTTCCTACCAGCACTCTGCATGGTTCATGGCCCTGAGCTCCTCTTCTTATTTGTTTGTTTTTGAGACAGGGTTTCTCTGTAGCCCTGACCATCCTTGATCTCACTCTGTAGACCAGGCTAGCCTTGAACTCACAGAGATCCACCTGCCTCTGCCTCCCAAATGCTTCCAGGGGACAGGAAAGCTGCATTATGGAGGGGGCAGCACAGCCATGTAAGGAATCCCCACTGTGAGCCTTCCTTGGTTTGCCTTTAGGAGGGCACGGCTGTGACCGCCATTTAAGCATCATCTGTAACGTGGTACATGCCTATAAATTTGGAAACTTTAAAAGCTGAGGTAGTATTGGTTTTTGTTTATTTTTCAAGACAGGGTTTCTCTGTGTTATAGCCCTGGCTGCCCTGGAACTTGCTTTGTAGACCACGCTAGCCTCTCTAACTTTCAAGAGATTCACTTGCCCCTGCCTTCCAAGCACTGGGATTAAAGGCGGGTGCTGCCACCACCCAGCTTTTTTTTTTTAAACTACTTATTAAGACACTGTCTAAATAAATAAAAGTCTAGATGGTCTTAAACCAGGTAGGTGATACACTCCTATAATCCTAGTGCTTGGTAGGTGGAGGCAGGGAGAGTCTGGGAATTCAGAGCCAACTATGGCAACACAGCATGTTTCTGGCAAACCTGGTTTCTATAAAACCCTGTCTAAAAAAAAAAAACCTAAAGATGATAGTTGGGGGTATAGCTGCATCCAAGGTACTGCCTACTTGTATCCAGCCTTACCAGCTATGACAGTGAGGTTTGTTAGGCCTCTGCTGACTTGTTCCCACCCCTAACTGGGTGTGGCTAGATCATGGAGGTTCCCTTGACTCCAGACAAGGGCTAGATTCTTGTCTTTTCCAAGTATGTCATGACAAAGTGGAGCTGGCCTCTCCCCCAGCTCCTCCAGAGAACCAGCTTTAGACGTTTTGCTGCTTGGGGCCCTATGTGTGGGCCATGTGTGTGAGTGGACCCACTTTGCCCCGTCACTCCTGAGCTGCCCTAACTCTTGTATATTTTGGCTCAAAATCCCCTCCTGGGCTAAGCCTAGCCGTAACAGGTGACCTTGCTGTGACCTTTCCCAGCAGGGATGTACTGAAAAGGCTGAGCTGAAGCCTGTGACCAATGCCAGATGGGGGCCATGGCAGAGAGGCACCTGGCAAGGCCTTGAGTCAGAGAGGTGTGATAAGGAGGGTCCCTGTGGTTGGCACTGTAAGTCACCACGTGGAGGAGCTTCATGGAGGAGATGGAGCCTTGGGGTCAGTTGGGGGAGGGGGCATGCAGGGGAAGGCTTCAGTGTCCAGATCCCTCTCCCAGGCACTTGGTGTACCCGCTAGGCCCCTTCTCCAGTGGCTGCAGTATGTGTATGGCTCATGCCTGGACTTAGGCAGCCTACACAAGCAGAAGCATGGGGCTCTGACAGGAGTGGTCAGGTCCAGGTGCCAGTCTTGTGAGAGCCCTTTTCTCCTGTGGCATCATGGACACGGTAGCCAGGTGTTGGTCAGCTGACAGCTCCCACATAACTTTTGCTATTTCCGTAATTGTTCTCTAGGGTGCATGCCCTCCAACCCCACACCACCCAGTGGAAGTTCAGTACTCTGCTCTCCTCCGGGCCTTTACAGTGGCTACCAGGCCTACAGAAAGCATGGCTGCCTCCTGGTGGAGAGCCTAGATATCACATCTGTCCTCTAGTTCTTGTATGCTGCTTCCAGTGAGAGGAGCCTAGGCTATCTGTGGAACCAGCGGCTGCTACCCACTTATTACTGTGAGGGCTCCTCTTCTGTCTCTGCTTGGTCCTTGGCCATCCCATCCAGTTCCTGCTCACCACTCTATCTCTCCAGGTTGTCTTTGGGAAGAAGCTTCCTGCCTTTGCCATGATCCCCATCCACCAGCTCCAGCACGAGAAGAAATACGACATCTATTTTGCAGATGGAAAGGTGTTTGCATTGTACAGGTGAGGGGTCCTCAGCTTGAGGGGCGGCAGCTACCTTGCATCTGTATGACCCCTCAGAATCAAGAATGGGGAGTACTTGGTGCTAGTGATCTCAGGCCCATCTTGCAAGACAAGGAGCTCGTTGCTCTCTACCAGGGTGGCAATGGAAAAGGGGGTTGTGTTAGCTGTTTTAGCCTTTTGAGGGACACAAGAGTATGCAAACAGATATTTAACTTAGGGTCCCCAAAACTCCAAAAAAGGCTAGTTAGAACCACAGACTTGGATCCTGTGTCCTGTGAGCACAGTCATTGTCTCCCTGGGTGGGGGCCTGGCATGCGGCTCTGTTCTGGACAGTAACACTTAGAGCCCAGCACGGTGGGTGGCTCTGTTGTCTCCCCAGGCAGCTGTTGCAGCATGAATGCCCACGGTGCCCCCACCTGCCATCCTTTGGCCTCTTCGGAGACTTGGAGCAGCACATGCGGAAGCAACATGAGCTCTTCTGCTGCAAGTTGTGCCTCAAGCACCTCAAGGTGTGCCCTGAGGATGAGGGGGCTGCCCTGGGGAATCCCCAGAAACTCCCAGGCCCCTTCAGAGCCTTAGGTTGCTTATGAATGAGCAAGAAGGTGCCCCCAGTGGCTGCAAGAATCCTCCAGCCTTCAGTTGGCTCTAGGGCAAAGCTGATACTATCAGGGTCCTCTCATTGTCCATGATGCTCCACTGTGAGACTTGGGAGCCCCAACCCTGTGTCTAGCCTTGTGTTTTCTGCAGATCTTCACCTATGAGCGCAAGTGGTACTCACGCAAGGACCTGGCTCGTCACCGCATGCAGGGTGACCCTGATGATACATCCCATCGGGGACATCCACTCTGTAAGTTCTGTGATGAGCGTTACCTGGACAACGATGAGCTGCTCAAGCACTTGCGCCGTGACCACTACTTCTGCCATTTCTGTGACTCTGATGGGGCCCAGGATTACTATAGGTGGGTGAGCCAGGGCTGCTGCAGGGGGTGGAGCCTGGAAGTCTTATAGGTGGGCAGGACCTGGGATGCTGCAGGGAAGGTAGTGGTGGTGCTCCTAGGACTTTTCTGGGAGTTACCCGTTGTGCAGTAGATGATCTGGCTTCTGCTGACTCTGTCTGACAGTGATTATGCATACCTGCGTGAACACTTCCGGGAGAAGCACTTTCTGTGTGAGGAGGGCCGCTGCAGCACTGAACAGTTCACCCATGCCTTCCGCACTGAGATAGACCTCAAGGCTCATAAAACAGCTTGCCACAGCCGCAGCCGGGCTGAGGCACGCCAGAACCGGCAGATTGACCTTCAATTTAGCTTTGCACCACGGCATTCACGCCGGAGTGAGGGTGAGCTAAGTGCCTATAGGTTCAGCTAGGCTTAGTTGCTGGGGCCTTCTGTGAGTCCTTGCTTCCCAGACCTCAGATCCAGGTCTCAGTTAGACCCCTGCTCAACTGAGACACACTGGAGGCACCCACTCAGCCTGTCTGAGCACCTAAACCTAGTGAGAATTCGTTCCTTTCCTGTCCACTTACACTCCTCTCCTGTGTTTTGCATCTTTGGCTCTGGAATCCCTAGGCTACTTCTCTGCCTCAGGAGACTATCACTGAGGCCCATTCTGTATTTCCCATCTCCTAAGGTAGGGACTAGGCCTGTCCTTGCACTAACTGGGCACCAGTTTCTAAAGGTCTTGGCGGGTTTGGATTCTGCAGTGTCTGGCCTATCGTTGCAGATAATAAGTTTTGGGGGTGGGGAAGCCTCTGCCATCCAGACAGGAGCATGGCCATCAGTATGGTCTGGACAGCAGTTTTTTGGTCCTGCTGCTCTGTTAATCTGGGACAATGACAAGCTATGTACTGACCACAGGAGTCGTCAGTGGTGAGGACTACGAGGAGGTGGACAGGTACAACCGCCAGGGCCGAGCTGGCCGGGCCAGCGGGCGTGGAGCCCAGCAGAACCGCCGGGGAAGCTGGAGGTACAAGAGGTGGGAGGATTTGCATACCACTGACATTCTCCTGGCACCACCTCCACATGGTGGCAGCTGCCAGCATTCAAGCTGGGAATAGGCATGAGGTCAGTGGGCTCCAGCCAGAGTTCCTGGGGTCCTGAGGGTGGCAACAATGTCTGCTCAGCAAGTAGAATGTTCTTTCTTCTTTATCTATTGCTAGCCAGAGACAGCAGAATCTAGGGGGGTGGGGGATGGCACTCAGAAGCAGGGTGCAGTTGTGTCAGGAAGTACCTGTGAAGCAACGATGTGCCCAGGCTACAGCAGAGATTGAGCCCAGACACTGCCTGTCTGAGGCTATGCCTTTGGGTCTTGCCCAGTCTGATGTCTTCCCCAACCCCTGCTCCGTCCTAGGGAAGAAGAAGACCGAGAAGTGGCAGCTGCTATCCGGGCCTCCGTGGCTGCTCAACAGCAAGAGGATACTCATAGGGCTGAGGACCGGGAAGAGGGTAGCAGGCCCAAGAAAGAGGATGCAGCAGCCAGAGGGTCTGAGGAGCCCCGTGGCTCCCGGCGCCTGCCTCGGACTCAGGGTGAAGGCACAGGTAACAGCAACCCACCTGGGCGGGAAAAGCTGCCAGCTCCTAGTCAACATCTCATCTTCCCCAAGCCTGTTCTCACAGACTTCCCTGAACTCATTTCATGTCTGCAGGCTCCAAGGAAGCCTCAACAAACGGTCCTGTAAGCCAAGAAGCCTTCCCAACCACAGGCCCAGGACCAGTGGCTGCCCCCTCAAAGTATGTTTGGGAATTGGGAAGGAGGGTGTGGTGTCTATGATAGACAGGACAGATTTGACCAAGTCCTGCTAATGAACCACTGACCAGTTCTCCCTTCCCTGGATCCAGCACCCTCCCACCACCTAACCCCAAGCTCAAGGATGAAGACTTCCCCAGTCTCTGTGCCTCCACTTCCTCCTGCACAGCGGTTACCCCAGGCTCTGTGGGCCTGGCACTGGCTTATCCTGGTCCTCCCAGGGGCAAAAACACCTTCCAGGAAGAGGACTTCCCTGCCTTGGTTTCCTCGGCACCCAAGCCCAGCAGTGCCCCCTCTAGCCTCATCTCAGCTTGGAACAGCAGCTGCAGCAAGAAAGGGAACCCACCTACACCAGGGGCCCAGGCTGTAATTGGTGGCAGCCAGCCTCCCCGGAAGGCAGGGAAGGGGAGCAGGGGTGGCCGGAAGGGTGGCCCAGCCCCAGTAGATGAGGAGGAGGGTGGTGGCCTCACTGTGCAGGAGCTTCGGAGTGTGCCCACTACAGTGGCTGTTTCTTCTTTGCTGGCACCAACTGCCAACCAGAGTTCTACCAAGGTTGGCAAGAAGAAGAAGGTGGGCTCTGAGAAGACTGGTGCTGCGTCATCCCCACTGCTGCCCCCTGATCACATCCCAAAGCCCTCTGGGGCTGAGCAGGCCCCTGACTCCTCTCTAAGCAAAGCTGAAGTGCCAGTAACCATTGTCAATGGACATTCGGAGGGGCCAGCCCTGGCCCGGAGCACCCCAAAGGAGCCTCCAGGGCTTCCACGGCCTCTGGGTCCCCTCCCCTGCCCCATACCACAGGAGGACTTCCCAGCACTTGGAGGCCCTTGTCCACCCAGGATGCCCCCTCCCCCAGGTATGTGTTCCTCGGGTTTCTGAGAAGTGCTAGCGTCCTAGGGTCAGGCAGGAGGTCAGCCCACGGTGGGAATGTGTGGTGGACTCCCGGTTCTCCCGTAGAGGAAACTTGTGTGCTGCTGTGTCCACTCTGGATGCAGGAGCCACCCTGAGCTGCCACAGCTAACTACTTCTTAGTGCTTTGTAGGGCAGGGAGTTCCCTACAGTGGTGAGTCCCCCACATAGGGTTCTGGTCCTGAACCTGCTACAGGGCTGGGCACTCAGAAAAACTGGACCAGTTGGGACCACGTTGAGGTTCTTGTCACCCTGCAGGCTTTAACACCATGTTGCTTTTGAAGAGTACACCGTCTCCACCCCCACTCCCACCAGGCCTGGTGCCTCCCTTCAGCAAGCCTCCCCCTGGCTTCTCCAGTTTCCTGCCTAGTTCCCACTCAGCCTGTATTCCCAGTCCCACCACCACCACCATGAAAGCGTAAGTGGGGTGGGCTCCCTGACCTTCTGACCTTCTGCCACTGGTCACTGGGTACTCATGGGAGGGTGCAACCTAAGTCACCCTAAATGCTCAAGCCTCCTCATCTGACCTCAGACCCCGGCTAACACCCACGCCACGAGCCTACTTAGTTCCTGAGAACTTCCGGGAGAGGAACCTACAGCTCATCCAGTCCATCAAGGACTTTCTGCAGAGTGAGGCCTGCTTCAGCAAGTTTAAGAGCCATTCAGGGGAGTTCAGACAGGTGAGGTGAGAGCAATTGGGAGGCTGGCCTGTCTTTGCCCAGGGTGAAAATGACTGGCTGTGGCTCTCTGGGTGGCAGGGAATGATCTCTGCGGTTCAGTACTACAAAAGCTGCCGGGACCTGCTTGGGGAGAACTTCCAAAAGATCTTCAGTGAGCTGCTGGCGCTCCTACCAGACATAGCCAAACAACAGGAGTTGCTGTCCGCACACACTGACTTCTGCAGTCGTGAGAAGCCTCCCAGCTCCAAGCCTAAGAAGAACAAGAAGAATGTGTGGCAGACCAGCACCCAACAGCTGGGCCTGGACTGCTGCGTGTGCCCCACCTGCCAGCAGGTACTGGCACACGGTGACATCAGCAGCCACCAGGCACTGCACGCTGCCCGGGACGATGACTTCCCCTCCCTTCAAGCCATTGCCAGGATCATTACGTAGCTCCTGCTGGTGAGGGCAAGAGCTGTCACACCCTAGCGCCTCCTTCCTCTTCCCAGCTGCCAGGCAGCTAGGCTGGGCCCTGGGAAGGCTGAGGCTCAGGCCGCCTGGTTATCCAGGCCTGCCAGGAGGGCATCAGGGAAGGTCTACCCTGTGCACCATCACTTAAGTTCTGTCCCCTGCTTGGAAGAGAGCCAATCTTGGTTTGTATTGGGATTTTGGAATGTGCCAGGGGAGGGAAGGACTGGGATGTTGGGACCTGAACCTGTGGTCATAGCTAGATGTCTCAGTGGCCTGAAGAGCCCTCCTGAGTCGAGCCCACAGCTGACAGCTTCGGGTGTACTGGTGCTGGAGTCAGAGTCAGTGTGCTGTGTAGACAATTGGCTGTTTCAGAGAGAATGTTCCAGATTAAACCACACACAAAATTGTGCTACTTGAAGTTCAATCTTTTTATGAGACAAGTTAAACTAAGATCTCAAATTGCCTCTGACATTTTATAAAAGACAGTTTATCTTCAAATAAATTTATTTTACAGTACTGCACATAGGTGGTGTCCTGAGTATCTCTGCCTCTGAGTGTATCAGGAAGCCTGGATACATGCACTATGTATGCTGGGGTGCAAGGAGGCCTAGAGGAGTGGCTTGGCAGCAGGGGTTTGTTCACAGGAAGAGGTTGGCAGCCCTGAGTCCCACATGGAACTAAGGCACTGCCCAGATTTCCCAGAACAGACCTGGCTGTGCATGACCTAACAATTGATTATCAATGAAACTGCCTTTCAAAAATAGGGTTACATGGCTGGGAGGTGGTGGCACATACCTTTAATCCCACCACATGGGAGACAAGGGCAAGTGATCTCTTGAGTTCGAGGCCTGCCTGGTCTATAGAGTGAGTTCCAGGATAACAGTGCTATACAGAAAAACTGCCTCGATAAATAAATAAATGAATGAATAAAGCGAATGAGTAAATAAATAAGGGGGTGTGTGGGGCCAGCAAAATGTTTCAGTGGGTAAAGGTGCTTGCTGCCAAACTTGGCAACCTGAGTTTGATCTCCTAGAACCTACCCAGTAGGAGAGACAGCTCCTACAAGGTGGTCTCTAATGTTATGTATAAAAAGTTTTTTGAGTTTTTCTTTTGTTTTCTTTCTTGAAACAGGATCTCTACATAATCCTGATTGTCTTAGAACTTGCTTTGTAGACCATGCTGGTGTCAAACTCCCTGAGATCCGCCTGCCTCTGTTAGGGTTAAAGGCATATGCCACCACCGCCCTGCAAGTTTCTTAATAGGACTAAGGAAAGAGCCCCAGGGAACTAGAAAGTACTACAGAAATCAAATAAACTCAGAGATTTAGGAAATTGACACCAGAAAGTAATGAGGTCAAAGTTCATGTCCCAGGTACCCATATACCCTCCACATTTTGCCACCAATCCTGTATCAGACTGGACATTGGGATGTTCACATGAGCCAGGTCTCAATAGCACCCTAACATCTAAAAGATCTTAAAACAGAACTGATAGTCACCCAATGGACGGAGCTGCCTGGACCAACCACGTCAATTAGTTACTAAAGCAAGATAAACATTTTTAAAAGTGGGGGTAGGGGGGTAGGAATGGGGAGGGGGACACGTTGAGCCTGGCAGTGGTGGTGAATGCCTTTAATCTTAGCCTTCAGGAGGCAGAGGCGGGAGGGTCTCTAAGTTCCAGGTCAGTCTGTTGCTTCACAGAGAAACCCTATTCGAAAAAAAACCAAAAAGAAGGTCGGGCGGGCCGGGCAATGGTGGCGCACGCCTTTAATCCCAGCACTCGGGAGGCAGAGGCAGGCGGATCTCTGTGAGTTTGAGGCCAGCCTGGTCTACCAGAGCTAGGTCCAGGACAGGCTCCAAAGCTACAGAGAAACCCTTGTCTAAAAGACCAAGAAAAGAAAAAACGGTTGTTTGTATTGAGACTAGATGTAGCTCAATTTGGAAAGTGTTTGCACAAAGTTCTGAGTTCAGTCTCTAGCAGCATGTGAAACAAGTGTGGTGATTGATGTGCTTGATACAAGCCTGTACTCCCAGCAGTTAGCAATCAGAGTCAAGGGAATCATCTCAAATTTGAGGCCAGCCTGGTCTACACATCAGTTTCTAAGCCAACCAGGACTATATAGTGAGACCCTGACTATCTCAAGGAAAAAAAAAATGTGATTCCATTTATATGGAATCTAAATATATAAATATGGATTTATTATATATTAATCCTAGCAGAGGTAGCTAGAGCTCTGAGTTCAAGGCCAGCCTGGTTTACATAGCAAGTACCTGGACAGGGCTATATGGAGAGACTTTGTCTCAAAAGGGGATTGGGGGTGAGAGCTGGAGAGATGGCCCAGTGGTTAAAAGCACTTTCTGCTCTTGCAGAGAACTCGGATTCAGTCCCCAGCACCCACATGAAGCAGCTCACCACTGCTTGTAGCTCCAGTTCCAGGGAATCCAGAGCCCTCTTCTGGTTTCCACAGGTACCAGCATAAGTGTGGCATACATTCATTCCCACAGACACATACACATGCACATAAAAGAAAACATCTTTTTTTGACAGGTGGTGGTGGCGCACACCTTTAATCCCAGGGAGGCAGAGGCAAGCAGATCTCTGAGTTCTAGGCCAGCTTGGCCTAGAGTTCCAGGACAGGCAGAGCTACACAAGAGAAACCCTGTCTCAAACAAAACAAAACACTGACACGTACACACACTACAGCAAGAAAAGACAAAAGGAAACAAGGGACAAAAGGAAAGGATCTCCTGTAGTTGGTTATTTTTACTCTTTGATATTTAGGGGCCCACTACCCAACTCCCAATTAAATACAGAGAGACTTACTCTTTCTTATGAATGTCCAGCCTTAGCTTGGCTTATTTCTAGCCAGCTTTTCTTAAATTATTCTGCCTACTTTTTGCCTCTGGGCGTTTACCTTTCTCTAATCTGTGTGTATTTACTTCTTACTCTGTCACTGGTGTGTGGCTGGCCCCTGGCATCCTCCTCTTTCTCACTCCACCCTCTTCTATTTATTCTCTCTGCCTGGCAGCCCTGCCTAGTTCTCTTTCCTAGCTAGCTATTGGTCGTTCAGCTCTTTATTAGATCAGTCGGGTGTTTTAGACAGGCAAAGTAACAGAGCTTCACAGAGTTAAACAAACGCGACACATCTTTGTATCATTACAGCATAAGCGAATGTAACACATCTTCAGCTAATACTCCATAGCAGTCTCCAGCGTTTCCGAGAGCTTGCACTGAGTAGCAGATTTTCACCAGACCAATGTGATCTATTAAGGGATCATAGTCCTGTGGTCTTTCTCTAAAACCTAGTAGTCAGCCTAACTTCCATCTTCCTACCCCCTGCCAAATTCTGGGTCCTGATGTCCTGAGACCCCAGACCCCAGCACAGCAGAGATGCGGTGAAAATGATTCTAGGAGTACCTTAGCTGTGGTCAATGCATTTACAGTCTTTATTGTAAAGAAGTTGCAGTTTTAACAGGGGACACTGAAAATACACAATCACGGATTGTTCTTTCAGAAGAGAGAGAAATAGATCCATATATACAAAAATTGTAAACATCACTTAAATATCCACATAATTGGTCTATGCTACAACGTACAGGGTTGTCATTCAACTGCAACTCCACAGGGAGGCATTTTGTCTGGAAGAATGAGATATGGCAACGCATTTGGTTTGACTTGATGTGAAAAGCCAGCTTCAAGCAATGCATGAGTAGTCTGCTACGCACAGGGACCTGGTCTGGGCCTTAAAAGGACTGGTTCAGGAAGCAAGGTTAAGCCATTTACAGGGATGACCCTTCAGCAACACCCTGGGCAGATGAGACCTTGTAAGAGGCTTGTCTTGCCTGTTACCCAGGTACCCAGCTGTCTCACTCTTCCCTAGGGAAGGTCTTACTGAAGAGTGGGTACCCAGGCCCATAGCTGTCTATGCCTTCCTGGGCAGAAGCACCCACACCTGGGCAGGAGCCACACAGAGGGGAGCAGCTTATGGGAGCACTATGAGATGAAACCTGAAGACTTAATCACAATCACAATACCGACAGGGCTGAGCTGTTCTAGGGAATCCTGCAAGAGGAAGTAGAGGGGGGGGGGCTCTGGACAGGGTGGACCACAATGATAGGAGCCAGGGCAGTCACTGTCCACAGACATGGGACTGGGAACAAGGGCCATAACCCCACCTAAGGGTGCAAATAGACTTCCTCTCCCTGGCCTCAGAAGCCCTTGCACCCTGCCCTGGAAGGCCGCTGGACTTCTGACCCTAGAGTGGACAGGTGAGCCCGTGGTTGGCTGGCCCATGAAAGGAATGCTTCCCAGGACAGCCCACTTCAGGCAGTACTGTTTTCTTCTCAGAGGGCCTTAGAACTGGGACCACTAACTAGGGGAAACTTTATGGGGACAGTCCAGGAATCCTAGGGAGGCTACTCCCCTTGGTCCCAGAGACCCACAGTGGCCACTTTCTCTGTCCTTGGCACTGGGACGGTAGGACCCAGGAAAGGTCCCAGGAGGCCTCGAGGCCTACGATGGTGAGGTGGCCTTCCAGCCCTGGCCGAAGCGTAACAGCTACTAGTATGCAGGCACCTGGTACCCTTTGGGGCTGGTGTCCAGGGTTTCGGTGAAGGGCGGGCTCTGGTATGTTTCTGTGCCCTCCACACCACTGCCCACTGGGTAGCCTGGGTAGGCCTGGGCAGCCCCAGCACCTAGCTGATCTGTGGCAAACAGAGACATATCGGTGCCCAGGCGGAACCGCTGTAGGGCCTTCACGGTGAGTGCCACCTGGGTGAGAGAGCCAGGATCAGCTGGAGCAAACCCGGAGACACTCCAGGCCCCACTACCCACGGGACCCGCACTCACCCAGCTGAGGATGGAGAAGAAGCTGAACGCGATGGCGGCCCGCGCCGCATCCCCAGCCTGTGCAGTGCCTGGTCCTGGCGCTGTGCGCTGCCACTGATTGGTGAGGAAACAGAAGCCTACGAACCACAGGAAGGACCAGACACCTGCAGGTGGGGACTGGTGATCAGATGGTGTTCCACCACCAGGATCTGTGGTCTAGTTGAACCAGAGAAGGTCCCTCCGGTTGACCGGAAAAATCCCTGTTTACAGGACCTCCAAGACCCCGCCCCTTCGCAGCTCACCCTTGCACCTTGCGTTGCGTCAGACTTTCCTTTTACTGTGTTAGCCCTGAGCCCTGAGACCCCCGGCGCTCCCAACACAGGGCTCCCTCTAGGTGATTGGGTCCTACGGGCTCAAAATCCTGAGGCGCATCTGGAAACCTGCTACATTCCCCTGAAGAAGCCCCGCGGCAGTCCCCGTGCCCGGTCCGGTTTCTTAGAGGACCAGTCACGCCCCGCCTCGACCCTTTGATCTCCCCGAGTAAGTCAGACAGTACCTCCTCAAGCCCCTTCAGCTCAATGCACCACGTCCCGCCCCACCCCACTCTTCATTAGGCCACGCCTCTCACCGCCGGCCCCGCCCACCTGAGAAGCCCAGGTCCAGAAGCACGGCGCGGCGACGGTCTCGGACGCTGC